CGAGGGATGAACCAAGACACTAGTTGGATTTTGGGGTGGGGGGATCAGAGCTGGGGGCTCCCCAGGGACGAACCAAGACACTAGTTGGATTTTGGGGTGGGGGGATCAGAGCTGGGGGCTCCCCAGGGACGAACCAAGACACTAGTTGGATTTTGGGGGGGGGGGCAGAGCCAGGCCCCTGCCAGGAAGGACCCGAGGCACCCTCTGGGTTTTGCTTTAATTACAAAAGGTCCCGTCAGCCATAGAAACCCCCCTGCCCACCCCTCAGCATGCAGGGTTCTCTCTCCTCCCCCCCCAACCCCCACCCCTGGGTGCCCCCCCTAACCCCCACCCCCACCTCTGGGGGGGATGGGCAACTATGGGGGGGCTCAGAAATCCCTGCACCCCCCACCTGACCCCACCTCGGGGGGGGGGGTTGGCACCACACACTGTTGGCACAATGGAGGGGGGGTTGGCACCTTTGGGGGGGGTTGGGGGGTCGGCACAATGGTGGGGGGTTATAAATCCCTTTTTTTTTGTATTTTCATGTATTTTTTAAATAAAACCCTTTGCCAGGCATGGCGGATGATGACTGGGGGGGAGGGTGAGGGGGGGCACCTGATGCCACCCCCCCTTCCCAAAGTGCCAATCCCTGCCAGGATCCAAAGTGCAATGGGGAGGGAGGGGGGCTGTGGCTCCTTTCCCCTCCTCCCCAATCTTGGTGCCCCCCCCAGTCCCGGTGCCCCCCCCAGTGTCCTGGTGCCCCCCTGGCACAGGGGGGGCAGTACCCGCTGGGTGGGTCCCCGTTAGATCGAGGTCTCGTCGCTCCTGGTGGGGGGAGGGAGGGGATGGATAAAATGTGGGGGTTGGCACAAAGTGTGTGTTGGGGGGGGATAAAAAACAAGACAGACGAATGCGTGATGGGGGGGGGTGCCAGGGTGCCCTCTGTACCCCCCAGCACCCAGTGCCCACCCTGGGGGGATGATGGAGGGGTGGGGGGGGTGAGGGGAGGCAGGACCCCCCCCATGAGTTAATGGAGAAAATTAAAGAACAGAAATCTGGGGGGGGAGGAGAGAAAAACCAGGTTAGTGCCAATGGTGCCAACCCCCCCTGGGCACCCTCATCCACCAAGGGGGGACAGCGGGTGTCTAACAGGCACCCAATGGGCACCCCAATATCCAGTGGGCACCCAATGGACACCCCAACACCCAATGGGCACCCAGTGGACACCCAAATATCCCGTGGGCACCTGGCAGGCACCCCAATACCCAATGGACACCCCAAAGGCACCCAACAGGCACCCCAAGGGATGCCCCAACACCCAACAGGCACCTAATGAGTGCCCCAACACCCAAAAGGCACCCCAACACCCAACAGGCACCTCAACACCCAATAGGCACCCCAAGGGATGCCCCAACACCCAACAGGCACCTAATGGGCACCCCAATATCCAGTGGGGACCCAATGGACACCCCAACACCCAATGGACACCCCAATATCCAGTGGGGACTCAGTGGACACCCCGGCACTCAATGGGCACCCAATGGACAGCCTGACATCCAATGGGCACCCCAACACCCAACAGACACCCAGCGGGCACCCCAAGGGGTGCCCCAACACCCAACAGGCACCCCAACATCCAATGGAACCCCAACACCCAGTGGGCACCTTAACACCCAATGGACAGCCCAACACCCACTGGACACCTGGGGGGTACCCCAATATCCAACGGGCACCCAATGGTCAACGGGCACCCAACAGATGCTGCTAGACCTGATGGGCACCCAACGAGTGCCCTTCGGGTGGTCAATGGGGGCACTCAGTGATCAATGGGCACTCAGTGGGCACCCAATGAGAACTCTTGCACCACATGGGCACCAAGAGGAGCCCTGGCACACAATGGTCTCCTGTCAGTTACCTTGGCACGCAGTGGGCACGCAGTGGGCACCCAGCAACCACCCTTAAACCTGATGGGCACCCAAAGAGCACCCAGTGGAGGCCCAAAAGGAGCCCTGGCACCCAAAGAACACCTCATAGGCACCCCATGGGTACCCTTGAACCCAGTGGGTGCCCAAAGGGAACCCTGGCACCCAAAGGGCACCTCTTGGGCAATGTGGCACCCAATGGGCACCCAGTAGGATCCCTGGCACCTGATGGGCACCCAAAAACCACCCTCATACCCAGTGGGTGCCCAAAGGTAACCCTGGCACCCAAAGACCGCCCCGATGGGCACCCAACAGCCACCCTCACACCTGATGGACACCCAAAGGGCACCTCTTGGACACCCTGGCACCCAATGGGAGCCCTGGCACCTGATGGGTACCATGGCACCCCATGGGAACCCAACAACCACCCTGGCACACCATGGACACCCAAAACCAACCCGGGCACCCCAAGGACTCCCAATGGACACCCAGAAGCACCCTGGGCACACGCTGGCACTCACTCGGACCCGGAGGAGTCCTCATCAGCGGTGCCTGCGCGAATGCTCATGGCGATGGGGGTGAGGCCGCTCAGCTGCTCCTCGAGGCTCTGCCGGGCCCGGGGGGCCGGGGGGGCACCCCCGTCACTGCCTGACGAGGCAACTGTGCCCGCAGGGGGCGGCGGGGGGGGCCCGGGGCGCTGGGCACTGCCCCCCCGCTCACTGATGGGGGGCAGGCACTTCTTCTTCAGGATCCCTGCAGGGGAAGGGGCATCACCCGGTAGGTTTGGGAGGTTCCCATCCCACACACACCCCCTGGCACCCAAAGGGCACCCGGGAGGGACCCTGGCACCCAAAGGGTGCTCAATGGCCATGTTGGCACCCATTGGGTCCCCAAAGGGAACTCTGGCACCCAAAGGGTATCCAATGGGCACCTTGGCACCCAAGGAGTGTCCAAAAGGACCTCTGGCACTGGATGGGCACCCAAAAAGAACCCTGGCACCCAAAGGGTGTCTAGTGGACACCCGGGCATCCAGTGGGTGCCCACAGGAAGCTCTGGCACCTGATGGACACCTGAAAAATACCCTGGCACCCACCGGGCACCCTCGAGCCCATACCTTTGTGTGGGTGGGGCAGGGGCAGCAGTAGGGGTTCCCTGGGCAGGGCCTCCCCGTTGGGCCGGGGAGGGTCTCCCAGGGGGGGGGCCCCTGCCCCCCCTGCCGGCTGCACCCGCAGCCCCTCGGTGCCCGCCATGCCCTCGCTCTCGCTCGCCGTCGTCACGAACTCCCCGGGCCAGTACGGGCACCCCGGGGGCATCCGGGCGGCACCTGCAGGCAGGGGGTTGGTGGGATGGGCAGGGCCAGGGACCCCCCCGGCCCCCGTGGGTGCCCCCCAGCAACAACGAGCCACGGCCAGGGTCCCCCCAAAACCACTGGGTGCCCCCCCTCAGCACCCCAGACTGGGGGAGGGACTCCCCTCATACCCACTGTACCCACTGGGTACCCCCCAGCAACACCGAGCCAGGATCAGGGACCCTCCCCAACCCCACTGGGTACCCCCCCAGCACTGGTCAGGCCAAGGGTCCCCCCATCCCCAGCGGGCGGACGTTGCCTGTTGGGGGGCCGTTACCGGGGCCGGGGGGGGCCGGGGGAGCCCCAGGCAAGGGGTCCCAGCCGGGGGGGGGCTCGTCGTCGCTGTCCGACGAGTGGGTGGAGCCGTAGGAGCCGCTCGGGTCGTCCAGGGACAGGTCACTGTCCGAGTCCGTGTCGTGCTCTGGAGGGATCACAGCTCAGGGGGGACCCGGGGACACCCCCCGTGCCCCCCAACAGGTGCGGGTCGTTACCCTCGGGCTGCTCCTGCGCGTCGAGGAAGAGTCCCCCGGGCTCGGGCAGCGGCCCCGGGCTGCCCGCCAGCCCCGAGTCCTCCCTGGGGGGGGAGCATGGCAGTGTCAGTGCCTGGCACCCCCCTGGGGCCCCAAAACCACTGCCAGACACCTGCTCGGCCCCCAAACCCACTGCCATCCCACCACCCCATCCCTGTGCCACCCCTCCAGCCCAGTGCAGTGCCCCCAACCCACCAACTGCTTAACCCACCGCTCTACCACTCCATGACCTGCCACTCCAGTGCCGTGCCCCCACCACCCCTGCAACCCATCCCACGACCCCATGACCCTGCCACCCCCCATGCCCATTGCCATGTCACCCCCCCCCCCCCCCACCTGCCACCCCCCCACCCCTGAGCCGTGCCATCCTGCCACCACCCTGCCATTCTGCCACTGCAGTGCCGTGTCACGCCCCCACCTTGCCACCACCCACCACCCCCTCACCCTCTCACCCCAACAACCCAGGGCCATGTCACCCCACTCCCCCATCACCTGCCACCGCCCCGCCATCCTGCCACATCAGTGCCATCCCCATTGTCCCCCCGTGCCACGCGCGGTGCCCACCGCACCCGCACCTCCTGACGAAGGGGATGTAGCTGTGATGGCTCTTGCCTGACCGGGCTGTGCTGTGCAGGGACCCCGAGGACCCCCCGCCCGGGGGGGGGCACAGTGGTCCTGCCACATATGTGCTGTCCCCGCTGTACGCCTGGCATAGGCACAGGGACGTCACGGCCGGGCTGCCCCGAGTCCCCCCGAGCCCCCTGGGGGGCTGGAAACGGGACAGGGGCATCACAGCCGTGCCGGGGTGCCCCGAGCCCCCCTCTGTCCCCCGGGGGGCTGGCACGGGGATAGGGACATTGCAGCCCTGCCAGAGGCTACCCCAAGGCCCTCTGAGCCCCCTATACCAGAGACAGGGACAACACAGCCGTGCTAGGGGCTGCCCCCAGCCCCCCCAAGCCCTCCATGCCCTCCGGGGGTCTGGCACGGGCACAGGGATTCCACAGCCCAGCCAGAGGCTGCCCCAGCCTCCCCGTGCCAAGGATAGGGACAACGCAGTCATTCCAGGGACTGCCTCAAGACCCCCCGGCACCCCCAGCAACCCCCAGGGAGCTGGCACGGGGACAGGGACATCACAGCCGTACCAGGGGTGCCCCCAGCCCCCGCCCCCCCCCAGCCTCCCGTGTTTCCCAGGGGGCTGGCATGGGGACAGGGACATCACAGGAGGGCCCGAGCCCCCCGTACCCTCTCCTGTGCCCCCTCCCGTGCCCCCCCCCCCCCCCCCCCTCCTGTGCCCCCCCCCGTGCCCCCCCCCCCGCCCCCCCGGCACTCACGGGTGTCAGGGTGGCCTTGGTGGCCAGTGGGGGGTGGTGGCGGCGGGCACAGCTCAGGCAGAGGCTTCTCCGCACCTCCTTGCTCAGTACCACACAGGACAGGAACATGAGGGGCCCCTGGGCACACGGGGGGGCACATGGGCATGGGGGGCACAGGGGAGGGGTCGGACAGCCTCGTGGGGGACCCCCAGTGTCACCTGAGGGGGCTCCCAGAGACGTGGGGGGCACCCCTTTGGCACCCCAAACTGGGTGAAGGGACCCCCACACATACTGGGTGCCCCCCATGGGCACCCTGGATATGGCAAGGGACCCCCCCCGTGCCCACTGGTGCCCCCCAAATGGGTTTGGGACTCTGTGGGTTCTGGGAGTCCCAGGAGGGGAGGTGCCAGGGCTCTCTGGGGGTCCCAGGGTGGGCTCTGGTGGTCCCAGGGGTGGTGGACTCTGGAGGTCTCAGGAGTGGAGGTTCTCAGCTCT